TTAAGTTATTTTGCCATAGCGGCTGGCGGTATTGTGTCATTATTATATACAGAAGTCAGGCACCGCCCATTTTGTTAAATAATTCATTATTCTTATTGCTGATTATTATTACATTAATTATTAGCACTACACAAAATCAAAACCTAAATCAAAAGCATAGAACGTGTTACTTGGACGCCATCGCAGCATCTGAAGTGGAAGTGTGCATCTTATTGACTCTCACCTCTCCAGGGGCCCCTGCAACCGGACTGCGCTATAACCCATGGTTGGAGGTATTCTGTATACTACATGCACATATACCCGGGTATAATTGCAACCTCCCAATTTATGGTAAATTGTAATTCCTGAATGTTATTCTTATGCATCCTGTTTTATGTGGCTGGTTTATATAAACTTTGCATTAATCTCATACAGGTGTGGTGACATGTTTTCATGTTAGAAATATAAGCTGGGTGCATTGATACTGCTATGTATGGTTACTTTAAGTTGTCTACCTGTTACATTCCTAGAAAGGGGTGAGTCTCCTCAATTGCAGGATCCCTATTCTAGGTGGAGGCACTGCCATTTGTATTATCACAACCCCCTCTTCCATATAGCGAAGGCTCAGGATTGCCTACTCATATACAGGTTAGCGCCATAGCCTGTTTGGTGTGGGCCATTTCACATAACCCCCCCCAAAACAGGGCTACAGCGTCAATACAAAATGTATGGGTGCAAACTGCGCCACAAAGAATAGCATGCAATTTGAAGAGGAATGCGTTTCCCCACTGCTCCTGTGTGAACTCCGGCTTGTCATAGCCAAAGCTCCCTGCACCTATCCCATGCTGAGTGGAGAGTGGGAGAGAAGGGCGTGTGGGGATGTATACCTTGGTGGCAGATGGAGGCAGATGCTCTGGATTCTCAGCTGTAGGAGAGGAGAAAGGAGAGGACTTTTGATTGGCCAACACCATCACATGGACTGTGCTGACCAATCAGAAGCCATCTAGCTCTTGCTGTCATCACTGCAAGGAGAGAAGAGAAAGCTCCTCTCCTACAACTGAGAATCCAGCACATCTGCCTCCATCTGCCAATAAGATATTCCCACACGCCCTTTTCTCCCGCTCTCTGCTCAGCATGGGATCGGTGCAGGAAGATTTCCTGCATGGCTCCTATGTAAACTCAGGCTATGACAAGCCTGGGTACACATTGGAGCAGTGGGGAAACCGCATGCGATTAGGGCAGTAATCGCAATTCCTGTTCAAATCGCACATTATTCTTTGCGGTGCAATATGCATTTTGTATTGACGCAAATCGCACTGCAAAGTATTGGTTTCCAGTATTGGGAACATTTTCACGAGTAAGAGTACTCCTGAAAATACTTGTTATCAGCACCAATACTGATATCGGTATTGGTGCATCCCTACTTACCAGTTGCTCACCACCCTACTGCAGAAATACTGCTACAGGGTGGCAGGGCTGCACAAACTCACGAATATATACGTGATTTGCAGTTCCGGGTAGGGGGCGCAGGCACATGCCACGCTACCAGTGCCACCATTGGTGACCATGGATATCAATCACTGGGTCCTGGTCAGAGATTCTTTTAGTGGTATTTGATCTGCGTTTTTTTTTTAATATTTGCGGTATAAACAACAAAAGACAGACAATTTTGAGAAAAAAAACAATATTTTTGACTTTTTGCTATAAAACATATCCAATAAAAATATTTAAAAAAATCAAATTTCTTCATAAATTTAGATCAAAATGTATTCTGCGACATGTCTTTGCTAAGAAAAAAGCCGACTACGTGTAAATTAATTGGTTTACATGAAAGTTTTAGCATCTACATATAGCGGTATATGTACTGGAAATAAAAAAATTTTAATACTAGTAATGGCGGCGATTAGCAACTTATAGCGGGACTGAGGCAGACATGCTGACAGTGAGTGGGAACTAACTGCCACTGGCATCCCCAGTGACACTAATACAGTGATCAATGCTAATAAAAAGCACTGACAATGTACCAATGGCACTGGGCAGGAAGGGGTTAACATCTGGGGCGATCAAAGGGTTAACTGTGTGCTGTGTGTGTTTTGCTAGGAAGACATGCTGTTTTGTATCTCTCTGCTGTGCAGAGAAATAGAAAGCAGCATGCCCTAGCTGGAGAGGAGAGAGACCTGTATTTTTTACACACAAGTCTCTCCCCTGTCAGCTTTCCCTGACGATCGCTAAGTTCTGACCTTGTGATTGACATCCCTAGCCGCCAATAGCGTCACGCGCACGTCCCCTACCTGGAAATACAAATCACGTATATATATATATGTGTGTGTGTGTTTTTTTGGAGCCCTGCTGCCCTGTAGCAATATTTCTACTATAGGGCGGCGGGCAAGAGGTTAAATTAGATAAACACCCAGCTGAGCCCTCAACCCAGTGACAGTCTGTGAATAAATGTCCGTAAATGTAGTAAAAATCAAGTAATGCAGGAAAATCTTCAAATCAGCATATATTCCACACGTGACTTGAAAAGTCATCACCCTTAACCACTTCCCGACCGGCCGTTGTATATACTCGGACGGTGGCACTGCAGGGTCGGGTGGCCGTATAAACGGCCTCCCCGCACCCTGATTGTGCGCGCTCCCTGGGAGTGTGCAGCACCGCGATCTGGTGCCCGCTGTGTCCTCCAGACACAGTGAAACACCGATCGTCAGATGGGACCTCTTTACGAGGTCCCGATCATGTGATCACTGATTGGCCAATCAGTGATCACATGCAAAGTAGTAAGCAAGATGTCACTTGTGACATCATTGCTTACTAGGTGTGAAATCTGTGAATGATCACAGAGGTCACATGGTACAAGGCTATTCACAACAGCCTTGTACCATGTGACAAGCTGTGACCAATCACAGCTCACTCAGTAGTTCTCAATGGCTGTAAAAATGCAGAGAGAAAAAGAAATGATTGCTTTTACATCCTATATGGGTGTAAAAGCAATCAGTGTAAAAAAAAAAAAAAAATCTTCATCACCCCCCACACTGTACTGCTAGGGTGACAGTATGTAAAAAAAAAATAAAATAAATAATCTAAAAAAAAATAAAAATGTAAAAAAAAATGTTTAAAAATTTCAATTTTTGGTTATAAACTAATTTGGCTTATTTTTTTTTTTACTAATAAGATAACGGAAAAAATTTTGGCCAAGATTTATGATGAAATATTATTTATTTGCAAAATTTATAAGAAAAACACTTTTTTTCCAACATTTTTTACATTTTCATTTACATAGCAAAAAAAAAAAAAAAATTCCAGCCGTGAATAAATACCACCAAAATAAAGTTTTATCTGTCTCAAAAAAATGGTAAAACATTCATATGGGTACAGTGTTGCATGACCGCGCAATTGTCATTCAAAGTGTTATAGCGCTGAAAGCTGAAAATTGCCCTGGTCAGGAAGGGGTAAAAGTGTCCAGACTGGAAGTGGTTAAAAACCCTATACCAACTAGCCTGCATGCTCACCTCCCATTTTGACCTAAAGGGAATATAGGTCAAATGCGCTTTACTGTCATCCCAAAATCCAACCAGCTATCCTCTGTAAGGGTACTTTCCTGGCTCTTTCTCCAATTCATAAATCCATGTTAAAAAAAAACATCAAAAGACATCTCATAGTGTAATACGCCCATGTTTAACATCTAAAAACCAGGTATAGAATACTTGACTTTTAAAACTGAACCAGCAGACCTATACAAAAATTGATTATAAAATACATAGGAGTAGGTGTACCAAGATGGCGGCTGCCGTCTGACCTGAAATTATGTCACCATACTTCCTTCTTATGCATTACATCATGAATCACGTGACTTCCTCAGGGATAGGAAGGCAGTGACTAAGTGACCCATTTATATTGGCTGACAATAGAAGATAATAACTCTTCTAACTCTGGCGGCCATTTTACTGAAGATCAGCAGCAAGTAAATAGAAATAACAGCAGTGGCCATTTTATTGGAGACCAATGAAAGATAAAATGAATACTGGTAAAGACTTCCTAACCACACATAATAATAAATGCCTATGTAGTACAATAAGGGATCTCAGAATCACTAAATCATATAAAACAGGCCAAACTAACTAAAAGCTCTAACCACTAAAAAAGACAGAAAACAATAAAAGAAAATTAAAATAAAACAACCAAAAACTCCCATAGTAAAATCAATATAAAAAATATATACTCCTGAGGACTACCCAATTGCTCTCTCTAGTGGCAAATTCTAAAAATGCACCCTATGTCAAAGTAAGACTGGCTGCAAATTAACTAAAAATCACTAATAAAACAATTTACATCAAATTCTATATTCAGTCCTAATGGAGCCATAGTTTGTATATTACGGATCTTACTGCCTCTCCAGTGGGGATGATATTTCTCAATTCCCCAAAAGTTTAAAGAAGACATCTGCATGGAAAAAAAGACATTTCTATTGAGAAATGTAACAGGTTTCTTTGTAGGAGGATGTACTATACTTCTAGCTATTTTGTCTCTTAAAGTCGAAGCCCTCCTATAGGTAAACTTAGGATGTGCTGGTAATATTTCCTTCAGTTGTCTATCTGACTTCAATATCGGCCAATGTTTCCTGAAGATTTTATCTATCTTCTTGTGCTGACTGTTGAAATCAAGAATAATAGGTACTTGGGCCAAAGATTCACCCTCTCTCATCCTGTCTTTAATCAATTCCCTTCGATCCAATTTTCCTACTTCCTCAATTTTTTCTTAAATCCGTCCTGGTTGATAACATTTATTGATAAAAGCTGTCCTATTAAGTTGGCTTGATGGTAATAATGTTCTTTATTGATACAGTTCCATCTTAATCAAATAATTTGGCCCTTCAGTATATTCAGGAGAAGCAGTATTTTTAGAGAAGGAGAAACCAATGAGGTCATCTGGGAGAGAAGGATGGACAAAAAGAAATCCAAACAGAGGAAGGGCTGCAGGAGCAGGGAGGAAGAAACAAGAGAAAAAGAGAATAATTGGTGAAGGTGTTTTTAATCTTAGGCTGGCCATACACTATACAATTTTCTGTCCAATTTCTGCCCAATTTCCTTTAGATTTACCTTCAACTATGTATTGTAAGGGCCTGACTAATTGGATACAATTGAAAGTGTTGTTTAGGTTGACCTCCTATTACATGGTTTTTGGTAAATATAAAGTAAAATTCTCAAGAAAATTGTATAATGTATGGCCAGCCTACGTGGTTTAAGGTGATCACTTTTCAAGTCACGTGTGGAATATATGCTGATTTGAAGATTTTCCTGCCTTACAGATCTTGATTTTTACTACATTTATTCACAGACTGCCACTGGGTTGAGGGCTCCGCCAGGTGTTTATCTAATTTAATATAATTTAATATTTTCTTTATATTTTGTGTGATTTGTTATATATATTATTATTTATGCCTTGATATATATTACTCAGATTATCCGTTTGCACATATGTTTAGGTTGCACATATTGATTTGTTCATATTTGGTATTGCCTAGCAGGGCATCTACTCTTTTTGGATATTTTCATTCACTTGTGCTTAGTTATTTTCGAGGTATGCACTTATATTACCTGATTATAGGGGTAATATTATATATTACCCCTAACTAGGGGCTCTTTTGGGTGTTTACTTTTCATTCATTTATTTTTTAGTGTTGTGGGAACACAGTTTGTTGTTTGCAGCCACTCTTAGTTTATCATATTAGGTTTGGCAGCGCAAGAGGATTTTTTTTATTAACACTGAAGGTGCCCAGTCATAGAAAGAATGAGAACCAGGGAAGAACAGAATCTTAGAGGCCAAGGGTGTGGAGTTTATGGAGGAGGAGAAGGTGTCAACAGTAGAGGCCACAGAAAGGTCCAGTAAGAGTTTGGAGTATGGAGCAGTGGCCACTGGTTTTAGCAGTGAATTATTGGTGAGTTTTAGTAGGGAAGTTTCTACGAAGTGCTGTGAGTGAAACAGAGACTGTAAAGGGTAAAGAAGGTTGTTTTCAGTGAGGTTCTAGCTCAGAAAAGTAGGGAGCAAGGAGATGGGTCTTAAGTAGGAAAGCACTAATACTGATATCAGTATTGGTGCCGATACTAAGTATTTTCAGAAGTACTCTTACTCGTGAAAATGCTCCCAATACTGGAAACCATTAGTTAGCGGTGCGTTTTGCGTCAATACAAAATGTAAATTGTACAGCAGAGAATTGCATGCGATTTGAACAGGGATGTGATTCCTGCCCAAATTGCATGCGGTTTCCCCACTGCTCCTGTGTGTACCTAGGCTTGTCATAGCTTGAGTTCACACAGGAGTTGTGCGGGATCCCATGCTGAGCGGAGAGCGAGAGAGAAGGGCGTGTGGAGATGTATACAGTTGTACTCAAAAGTTTACATACCCTGGCAGAAATTGTGACATTTTGGCATTGATATTGAAAATATGACTGATCATGCCAAAAAATGCTCTTTTATTGAAGGATGATGATCATATGAAGCCATGTACTATCAAATAGTTGTTTGGCTCCTTTTTAAATCATAATGATAACAGAAATCACCCAAATGGCCATGATCAAAAGTTTACATACCCTGGAATGTTTGGCCTTGGTACAGACACACAAGGTGACACACACGGGGTTAAAATGCCATTTAGAGGTTAATGTCCCACATCTGTGACTTTTAAAATTGCAATTAGTGTCAGTGTATAAATAGTCAATGAGTTTGTTAGCTCTTACATGGAAGCACTGACTAGGCTAGATATTGAGCCATGGGGATCAGAAAAGAAATGTCAAACGTCCTGTGTAACAAGGTAATGCAACTTTATAAAGATGGAAAAGGACATAATAAGATGTCCTAAGCCAATCAGTACTGTTAAATCACTTATTAAGAAGTGGAAAGTTTGGGGATCTTTTGATACCAAGCCAAGGTCAGGTAGACCAAGAAAGATTGCAGCCATAACTGACAGAAGAATTGTCCGGGATTCAAAGAAAAACCCACAGGCAACCTCAAAAGAAATACATGCTGCTCTGAAAAAAGACAGTGTGGTTGTTTAGAAGGAGCACAATATGATGACACTTGAACCAAAATGAGCTGCATGGTTGAGGTGCCAGAAAGAAGCCTTTACTGCATCAATGACACAAAAAGGCCTGGTTAGGCATGTCAAGGTGTTGTCAGGCATATTGTAACCGGGCTTTTTTGTGGCATTGGTGCAGTAAAAGCTTCTTTCTGGCACCTCGACCAAACAGCTCATCTTTGCTCAAGTATCACCGTACTGTACTCCTTAAAAACAACCACACCATCTTTTTCCAGAGCAGCCTGTATTTCTTTTGAGGTTGCCTGTGGGTTTTTCTTTGAGTCCCGGACAATTCTTCTGTCAGTTGTGGCTGCAATCTTTCTTGGTCTACCTGACCTTGGTTTGGTATCAACTGTTGTGCAAACTGTTGTGTAAACTGTTGGCGCTATATAAATCCTATACTTATAAAGCCATGTACTTCTTCCCCGGGAGGGTGTGAATATCTGAGGGCCCCTTAATTATAAAGAAAGCTTCAAGATAAGTTCCCCTTCACAAACCTCCAAGGGGGAAGAGGCCCTTGTCACTCAACATTTTTAACAAAGCACCTTGCAAGGGTGGGAAGCTTTGCTGCCCCTCATCCTTGCAAGGTTTCTGTCCAATGTGGAAGGCATGTGGTCCAGTAAGGCACAGGAAGGAAGCTGTCGCACCCCCACTGTCCTCTCTTTCCTTTCCACCCAGGATGCACACCTGGAGAAGAGGCTGGGTGGAATTTTAAGGGAACACCACAGTTTTTTTTTCTCTTTCTTACCTTTTAAGCAACTTAAAAAGTCGTGCTACATGCTGACCAGTATTTTTAATCAAAGTTTGTTGCATTAGTACATGTCCCCCAATGGCAGTGCCCAGCTCAATAGCTTGCCTATTGCCATTGAAAATGGCCAGAAAAAAATAGCAAATTTGACATTCTTTAAACTTCTTTAGGATGTTCCTGCTGCACTTGCCAAACCTGGCTTGAGCCAAACCTGGTTAGTCTTGCTTATATAGTACCTAGTCTAGAACATATTTACGTAATCACTATACAGACTATTTAAAACACTTTTAAATATTCAACTGGGAATACATAATGTCTTTAATGAGCACATTTCTTCAGTTACCAATTCCACTTTAGTTTAGAGGTGACCTACTTCTTGCTTCTGCTTTCATAGTTTCTACACATGAAAAAATTAGAGACAATTCTGACCTTTCTTCCCATCTGGCTAAAACACAGGAACTCTCTATTCATAAAGGATTGTTGCCTAGTTGCAATGTTGCTTTGACAGCTCAAAGAATGTTAATCAGTGAAGAAATTAAATGCTTTCACTGTTTAGGACCTGATAATTTATTAAAGTAGGATTGCATGCACATTACAACAATTTAATTATTAATTAGTAAGAACCAGGTCTTGGTTACACATTTGTGGAATGGCATAATATGTCTGAAATAGAAAATGAAAAAAATTAAATATTAATTTATGTAGCATTTTTGTATGAATAAACACAGCTGACGGACACAGTGCAGTCCACAATAGCAGTTTAATCAATCACAAGAGAATGCACATAGGTGGAAAAAAATACTGATATATATGCAGAACCTTGCCAGCAGAAAGCTAGCAAAAAGATTCTGCATATATATCAGTATTAAAACACCTATGTACAAAACAAATGTTATGGTCCATAAGATACTTCCGGTTAAATGCATGTAGATGCAAAAGTCACATCCTTAAATTTATTCTTCAATTCCTCTGACTCAGTTTTCAGTCTTAGGTTGCTCTGTCTGCATGCATTATGCAAAAGTACATTTTGTGCTTTTTGTTTTCTTTCTGTTTCCTGCATCTTGCTCTTGAGAGATGTTTGCTGGGGGGCAGTGTTCTGAATATTTTGCTTTGGCTGGTACTATTGTGGTAGCACACAGATATGGCAGAGTTTAAACTGTAACATGCATGAGGTCGGACATTTTTCTTACTGTACACTGGATAGATAATTCTCCTTAATGGGGCAATCTGTATTTAAATTAAATAGGCAATGATTCTTGTGCTTAGATCAGTTAGATCAGTGCACTAATTTTGGAACATGATTATTTTAAATAAATACCCTTTTTACTGGGGTGCTGCACTGTAAGATATCTTCATTCTTTCCCGTAAATACTGTATATCATTTTGTATGGTCTATTGAATGATTGGCTTTGGATCGTGAAGATAGAAGAAATTACACCATGATACTTTTTTTTACCTAACTTACGGTGGGTCAATGGGTGAAGGTAAGCTGTAGCATTTACTGATGGAGGCACTTAACGGTGTTGCTGCATGAAGAGTTTCGGGAGCACACTTGACCCTGAGGAAGTCATGTGTTAATGGGACATAATGCGTAGGAACGTGGTGACGTATGTCCAGCATGGACGCCATAATGCTATACCCAAAAATGCCAATGCAAGTACACCCATAGCATGAGGTTTTTTCCAGCTTGTTTTATGCTTTGAAAAAGTGACTGGGCATTTGGCTACACATGTTTTCATTAACATTAAACAGTTTTACACTATGGGAGATACCTTTCTTTTCTACCCTGACCTTTTGATGTGAGCTGGTTGTATTATACCCTTTGGGAGGTAAGGGGGCAATTCAGCCATTTATGGATTATTTCCTTCTGGTTGTCATGTGAATTTAACTATATCACCTGCACCTTCTGAGTCATTGTATTATTTGGTGTTTTATACACACACCATTGAACTTTATTTTTCTGGACAATTTTTATGTGACACTTCAACAGTGTTTTTTGAATATCACTTTTTGTTGTGATACCACATATTTATGTTTTATTTTATTTAATAATTTTATTTATTTATTTTTTTGGTCTCATAATCAGTGTACTTGTCACTTTAGTGTGATATATTTAATCCCATATTCAGAGATTCACAGATTTTTTTCACTATTTTTGGCTAATTTATAGCTTTTGTGGTCACTATTAATAGTAATGTATTTATTGATCCCACATTAGTTACATAGTTAGTCTGGCTGAAAAAAGACAAAAGTCCATCCAGTTCAACCATAGAAAAAAAAAAAAGAGTTATAATCCTATACCTACAGT